GCCTGAGTTTGCTAGCCGGCAACATAGCTATAGGGGTAGTTTAAGCAAACCGCTAACAAACCGTAGCCTACATGTAGCTACATGAACCCTTCTGAGGTATTGATTACTTGCTGTAAGCATTAGAGGTGGCAGAATGACAAAACATGTTTCTCTCTCTATCACAATGTTGGGTTGACCAGAACCTGGACCAACTTCTGTTTCCTGTTCTACAATGGGCATATGCTTGCGTTAATTTTCAACTGGACAGATGAGGCTAGGATACCGGCTAAAGTTAGCAACACACGTTAACCATGAACAGCCTATTAATCCGTTCTCTTAATGTTATTTCTTCCAACGTTGTGGAATTAGACAAAAGGGGCTTCTTAACGTGCTTTTATCCGGAGTGGAGGGAGTTACATATTAGTTAAATATAACATTGGGGGCGTGTGATTGTAGTGGGTGGAGAAATGAGGATATCCATTTTGGAGTTCCAGCTAGTATAATAGAGTTAACGTTACACAATAATAAGGAAGAGAGCTATTTGTGTGATACATCGCTATTGATATGGATTTAGAGTGGATATTTGAGACTTCCAACAGTAAACAAAACGTAACTTATGGGTGAGTGTTTTTAGCAGAGCCATATTATGTCCTTGTGATTCTGTTGATTATTACCTGTCTGTATTATATTGCAGCTCAGCTGATGTTGGATTGATGGCAAAGGGAGAGGGACTTAAGTGAGAGCGAAAACACAAGGTAAGTTTAAAATAGGTCAGCAATTTCCCATCCTATAGGTTGCTAGATGTATCTAACCCTTTCTCCTGTCTCTCTCTTTCAGCACAAGAACCCCAGGGGGATTCAATGGAGCATGAAGACCTGCACTGAGACCCTCACCCTGCACCTGAGTCTCAACTCCCAGAGTTTTGCAAGCCTCTCCCTGTTCCTTATTTTGATTAAACAGACGTTAAGCTTCCCAATGGTGTGGTCTTCGTTTTGTGAAAAATATGATTACCTCACATATGTTGTTGCTGTTGTTGTCTTTTGTGATAGTTAAATTGCTGCTGTTGACTTGAGCCAGCCATTCTTTCCTCCTCTCTGTGTCAGTGGGGAAACTTTACATTCATACTCCTTTCTCTGAGCGCTTGGAGCATCCCCCGGTAGCACAGAAAACCATGGGGGAGACGATATGCCAGGACAACACGGAGGAAAAGGCACAGACAAACTGCATGATATGCTATTCAATGTTTATTGAATTCCATTTATTTACAATGGATGTTCCTAAAACAACACATGTATCATCATCATCATCATGCTGCTGCTGGTAGTCCTTTGATAGGCTCTTTAACCAAGGCAACATTAGCCTAACATGTATGTCAACAGGTAAGATAGCTGTTCACACTGTATATTTTCTACGTTGTAATGCTATGTTATTTCTATTTAAGATGTTTACATTTTCGATTGTTTAATTATAGTCTTTTAACTGTCTAATGTACAATGCCTCCTTGTCTTTTGCTGCTGCAGCGTAAACATTTCCCCAATTGGTATCAATAAAGTAGGCTACTTCTTATTTTATCTTAATCCTCAAATATTAGCACATTTAAAAAAAAAAACACACACATTGATGTAACTACACACATATCGATATGTTGTATAAATATTGCAAATCAAAACCTTTATTGACCACTAATTACCAAAATTGCATTTATATCCTGTTATTAATGCATTCAAATCGTGATTCAAATGGCCCGCCACGAACTTCCGGGAACTTTCTGAGTCTCTCTGAACCACGTGACGATCAAGCATGTTGGACTTCCGCTGTTGCAACTCTTCTCTCTACATGGCGCTGGACCAGCCAATCAGAATTGACCTTCTCGAGTTCTCCGATTGGTTGGTTTTGTGGCACATTTGTAACGCTGTGACAACTTGAGCGAGCGCAGGCAAAGCTGAGCGCGCGCAGGCTGGAGAGGTCGAGCGAGCGGGGGAGAGAGAGCGCGTGCAGCGGTCTGCTTGCGCACGGAGCAGGAGTTTTACGAGAGAAAATATATTTCTCTGTGCTCAAAACTGTTCAAGTGCGCGCTCAGGATAGAGGCACAAATATAACGCCATAGCAGCAGAGCTGTTCTGCAGTCAGAGCAGAGAGGAGACAACCACACTCCCCCGCGTCGAGACTGCAAATTAATTGCGCATGCGCCAACTGCAAAGCCGTCCTGGTTTTGAGCGGGATTTAAATGTAAAATGTAAATGTTTCTTCACTCACTTTCACACTATAATAAATAACTGCCTTTGCTTTGACTCACACAGCCTCAGTCACTCAATCACCTCGTCCACTGTGTGTGTGCCTCTCTGTGACAAGCTAAACATCTCTGTGACAAGCTAAACATCATGATGCTTTCCTGGAGAAGTCCAGAATTTGATCCTTGAAGGGTTGGGAACGTTTTTTGTACTCCCCTCTACCATGCTACCCAATATACAAGCTGTTAATAAACTTTTCAATCAATCAATCAATCTCTCTCCTACAGCCGCCATTACATGATATGCAAATTAGGCGATGACGTCATTTAGCGACTTCTGGCGACTTTCCGGACAGCCAATAGCTACTTTCCTTACTATGGAGTTGGCAACACTGCCAGCAGGGGGAACGAGAGACTAACCTAAACAAGTTTTGCTTTGGTTGCAAGTGATGGACAGATAGTGTTTTTTAGGCTTTGGTTTTGAGGGGTAACCACCGCGCCATCATCCACAAGAGCCGAAATGGCATTTACAGGTACGTGTAGGGTACATGCTGCTGTTTAATGTGCTGCAGCTGAGCAGCTTATTAGAAACCTGGCCTGCAAACTGAGGCTGACAGTGCAATATGTTTGGTCACTCCGAAGCTAAGCTAAGGTGCACAACAAGACGTCATATTGTTAAGTTTGAAGGGGATTTTAATTAGCAGAAAAGCCAACGTTGTTAAAGCCTTGGGTCTTGTGACATGTAGCAGGTTGCTGTCTGGCTGTCATTTTGTTTTCCCAAAGCACAACAATAAACCAACACAGTCTCACGGCGTGTTATAGTCACGAAATGAATCTATTGATTCGTGTTCACCAACACGATTTCCCCATTGTTTTCTTGTCACACAGAACGATTTTAAAAGCAATGTAAATAATAACAAATTAGAAGGAAAAACAGATTTAAAAAAATACAGATGTCAGTATTCTGACACAGAACGATTTTAGAAGCAATGTATTTCTATTAGTATGTTTCGTGCCTGCACCAAATAATAACAAATTAGAAGGAACAAGAGATGACAACAAATACAGATTTCAGTATTCTGAAGCTCTGAGCCCCATTTCTTTTCCTCGCGGACGGCAAAAAAACTCAGACATTATACAATTTAAAAGAAAAGAGATGGTAGGCTTAGGGTAAGATATTGATTACGAAAATGTGTTTATGAACCACACAGCTTCTGGTATTCCAAGACCCGACCGGACAAAAAGACGTGGTGCAGGCACGAAACATACTACCAATAGAAATACATTGCTTTTAAAATCGCTCTGTGACACGAAAAAAATGCGAAAATCGTGTTGGTGAACACGAATCAATAGATTAAATTAATTTCGTGACTATAACACGAAATGGCGTGAGACTGGGTTGAATAAACATGATGTATTTTGGTTTAGAGCAATAAGTAGGCCTATACGTGAAGTGTAGTGATGACGTTTTAGTGCAGGCAGAAAGCAGTGTTTGTTTGTAGTAAAAAGTCATTCTTCCTATTTCACCTGGCTGTAACCACCCAACAGTGATGTAATTGTCAGTTACAGGATAATGGGAAATATGGTGAAAACAGAAAAAAAGAACAGGAGTCAATGTCTTTCACAAAACAGTAACAACCAGTATGTCAAGTTTGTTACCATTCAGTCACCTAGGTTGATGGTGGCGGGCCAAGTGAGGCTGTTGAAGGTTGGAGTTGAAATGGGCAAGAATTAAATGTACCTTGGTCCACTCATCCACGGTTCTAAGCTTTTTTTCAACAACAAATACTTTTAACTGTCACACAGTCAGTATAAACTCTGAGAAATTCCCTTTTACGTTGTAATTATCATCCATAGTGGTTATTTGCATAAAACAAGTTGTATTTAATAAATGATTGTATTTTTATTGAAGTATTTGCTTTTGATTAAAAAGATAAATCGCTTAGTAGCTCCGTTATATAACATAAACTGGTTTCCCTCCTGCTGATCTCAACACACATCTGTTGTTGACAATGGATTATGCATTTATTTAAACAAGGACCATGTATACAAATACATCAATCTCAGAAAAGAGAAGATGCAGTTTTATCACCATAGACCCACCCAAGGCCTGGGGCTAAAGTCATCTTTACCGTCTGATTGGTAGTTCTGATGCAGTATAGGTGTACAACTGGCCTAATTTGTATTGTGTATAAATGCAGGTGGACTGCTGAAAACACTAATTATTCATTATTATAAAACGTCGGTGTACTCAACATGTCTAAGACCTGTGTCCTCTAGAGGTTTATGTAAAGCCTTGACAGATGCTCACAGATCAGATCGACACTTGGTAACACTTGGAGCTGTTCTCCAGGCTCATGGCAGAAATCAATGCAGTGATGATTCACCTTAAACTTTAAACACTCACCACACACAAATCTATGCTGGATCATTCAGTATAGATGGTAGAGACAAACACACCCTCATTAAGAGCGAGAGAGAAAAGTTTGATCCAAACTAAACACACTCTTCACCATGCAGACTTGCACTCCTACACCCAGCACCTGCTGTGTGAGGGCCATTAATCAGTCTGCTAAAATGTCCCCTACTTCCAAGACAAACATCATTGCCTCTCGAACTAATAGGAAAGACTGCACGTATGCAAGCACACATGTTTGTGCAACTGACACATAAATCAGGCATTCACACCTCACTTCAGCAACACCCATCAATCATGCACACATGCTTTAACCACTCAGGAAGAAAATAAAAAACAACACACAGTCAAATAAACGGATGGATCAATACGCACATTTCATCTTAATTTGCTGGATGATCTCGATGAGCTCCATCTCTGTCGGCATGTAGCCCATGGTCCTCATGCAGTCTGCAATGTCTTTGTAATGGATGAAGCCATCCGCATCATAGTCAAATTCCTTGAAGGCCACATGTAGCTCTGACAGACAAAAAAAAACAACTAATTATAGCAATTGCAACAAACTGTAAAGTATTTTCCACAAGAGGACACAAACTGTGTGTGGGCAGATAGTTCCACTTTGAACAAAGTATTAAATTATCTGTAAGTTGTTGACTCCAGCAGACAGAACTCCAGCCAGCTCTCAAGAACAGCAAGTTATGTTGTTTGAATTGATTTTGCTGCTCTGAGTCAGTACCAAACATTTCAAGTCATTCTGAAAAACATTCAATCTCTTTCGTGGATCACGAAGAGAAGCAAAAAATCAATTCGATTGATAAAGCTTTGCATTGACTTGCAATTTATCATGTATTTGCTTCGTAATTACGCCTACCACATCTTACCATCTAACTCCTCCGGCATCAGCGCTCTATCCTGTGGAGCAGGGAAGAAAAGAGAAAAAGCGTAGAGATAATTACAAGGCCGCATCTGAGGACATGGTTTACAATCAGGATGGCTTTAAAACAGCAAATTCTCCTGAGACATATCCAGGCAATAATCTGTTTTTGACTACCAAATTACAATAACATGCATATCATGTCAACACTGGCGCATGCTGACAGTATTCTCTAATGGGATTTCACCCTGCGCATGTCTTTCTAATTTGCAAAATGACACACCACACACTCCTGTGTACACACACACAGACACGCACGACATCTTCAGCATCCATGCAGCACATGCTCAAGTCTGTGCATACAAATACACACCCACGCACAACAAGGTGACAGTGAGTAACACAAACCTTGCAAAGAAAAGGATACATGTAAACCAATATACGGATACACACAAGCACAAGACATATAATTTGCATAAATCCTTGTGTTTGAAACATTCAGTATTCTCTGCCTTGTTTTGACATTTGCTCAGGGTGGTCTCTCTCTCTCTCTCTCTCTCTCTCTCTCTCTCTCTCTCTCTCTCTCTCTCTCTCTCTCTCTCTCTCTCTCTCTCTCTCTGTCTTTTTCCCTTTTTGCATGTGTTCAGGGAAGTTGAAGCAAAGCTAGGAGCAAAATATCCACATTAGGAATAATGGATTGCAGTGGAATGTATTAAAGCTTTAAATAGCTATATGTTAATATATTCCAGTGGCTGACAGACAGTTTTGATAAATACACATTTTTAAGTCTCAATACTGTACAAATATCCTCAGGCAAGAAATACTCTTGACATTTTAATAAGTTGACCATAGGGCTCTTGTTTTTTCAAAAACACATCACATGCATCAATCCAATGTTCTAATTAGCATTTGTGTAAACATGTACTAATTTGAATTGTATGAATATGTAAAGCTTCGATATAATAGATTATGAAATGGAATTAATCCTCCAATCAATTATGGCTTTTCAAAAATCATGCTTGCTCCAGCAACATCTTGAATCCAGGGCTAGCTAACAATGTGCTACTGAAGCATTATCATGTCCACAAGGGAAGCAAGACATGTAAATGTAAAATGTAGACATGTAAACTCCCTCATCTCTTATAGAGCAGCTGAGCCTGACATATGGAGATATAGCTTAGCACAATACTGCACCAGCCTGAGGATATCTATAAGTTCAAAGAAACAAGACCGACACACACAAGCTTTTGAAAGCTCTGATTATTGCCAGCACAAATTTGCTCTGGGCTTGTTTTCCTCACTTTAATTCAGTAAGGGAAATAATTGAAGCTGAATAAGATAAAGACACTCTAGCAGAGGTGGAAGTTCCACGTTATTTGCATCCATGCACTGTACTAGCATTTAGTAGTTATGTTTCTGTACTTACATTTATTCCAGAGGTTATAGTTTTGACCTCTTTACCTCAATGCATTCATCTGATCTTTATAGCAATTACATGAAATGTTTTACATTAAAACTGTGAAAAATACGTGTTATTGTTAGTTTGTAGGAGATTGGCAACTGAATGTTAAAAATTGTTTTAAATGTAATGCTCACCTTACTTCTGTGCATTTATATTTCTACGTAGGACCTCTGCTTTAATCAAGTGTCCATTTATATTACTTTACTGCAACTGAAAGATAAAAAGCGGAGCAGAAGTGGAAAGTAAATGCAAAGAGAAGTGCAATATTTTCTCCTAATTCATGTTGGCACTCAGTGTATCTTATACATAAATCATACAAAGTCATCCTGCTTAAGTGCACAATAGCTACAGGAAAAGGAGAAGCACCCATAGTTTTTTTGGAAGGGGCATCGCATGGCAGCCGTTCAAATAATTATCCACTGTAAAATATTGCCAACTGAGTTGAAAAACAAATACCATGCCAAGAGCTACCTCACTAAAGTTGTACTCTGCCATAAATACTAAAACATCATATAAACCTCTTAATATGAATTTTGAGACTGCAGCATTTCCCGGAGTCCAACAGCGCTGTTTACCCAGGATCCTCCAGCCTACAAGGGCATCTTAAGAAAGCAAGGCCAACACATTAATTGGATTTTTTTTTCATCATCCAGGATTAGACACCATGCCGTGCAGACTCTGGATTCATCCGTCAGAACGAACCCATTAACAGTTAATTTCATTGTATCTGCCTTGGTCCATGGTCCACTGAGCAGTCTACTGCGTTATAAGACATATCGGAGGTATACATGACAAACACATCATGTCCTCCTCAGGTGGAACGCACAGTACAGTGCGCACTACTCATTGATGGGTACACTGGATTTTGATTCACATCCATCTGTGCTTCACTTATATTAGTCATGTTAATGCATTTCTTTTAGTTATTGTCTCTGAAGACCCACTCTTCACTTAGATCTAATGAGGACTGACAGTGAACCTTGCTAAGGGAGTTATTAATACTTGTGTTGAGGCAGGGATTAGGACTGCTGAGGGATGGATGGGCTTCCTGCCTCATTGTCAGGGACATATGTCCTCTTTCCTGTGAATACTACCAACCTCTCCACCTGGCTACTAGTAAATTCTAACCGGGGGCCGCTGCAGGAAAACAAAGCGGATCAGTGAGGTGAGGCTGTAACTCAGAGGAGGATGCAGTGTGCTCTCCTCAGTAGCCAAGGTCAATGGGAAATGGCTTTTCACTTCCCACAAATTGCTTTAAAACAATGAAAACGCTCCCATTAGTTATTACGAAATCGAGTTATGCAACATAATTAAAACGAGTATCGGCACTCTAGTTCCCTTGGCGTAGATTTAAATTAAGTTGTTGTGTTATCTTGACAGTAAATCCCTCTTCTATAATGAAAGCATTTATGGAAATGCCTTACTCTGCTTTAAAGAGGTCTAACCAGGGTCCCATATTGTGCCGCAATTAAAAGGATCTTTTATTAATTTAAATGTATGTAAGAATAATTGTAAATCAAATATTATATAACATAACATTATAATGTGAATTCATATAATATAAACCACACAACTAAAAACAAACTGACTGAACAAAAGATTCTTGATAAAAAAGCTTTCATGGTAACTATTATAAATACAAATAAATTGCTGGTTGTATTAATGCTGGCTATTGTATTTTGTCTCCACAATGTAATTCAGAAATACATTTTTAATTCTATAAAAACATATTTTCTAGGTTGGACAGGGTTACATAAGGCAAAGCTTTAAAGTATTTTTTCATGTGTCTCGATTAGGCTCAATAATCATCTGTTATAAAAAATTGATTGTGACCTTCTGCATGTGAAGTCTTTGCTTTTCAGCTTTACCTACTGTAGAATAAGCCTTTGTGATTACTGTCCATCGCCACAATTATTAAATTAGTATTTGCCATGCTGAGTTCTGTCCTTGACAAAGGAAAACGTTTTTTTGTCAATTTCATTAAGATCCTGGATCTGATCCACGTCCATTGTCTCCATACCATGCAGCCAACTATCCCCTGTCTTTTCCTATTCATATACAGTTCTTAAGGTTTATCAAAACTTTAAATACCTTTTTATTTGGTTGTTGTTATGATCTGTTTATTATATTAATTCACAAGTCACAAGTCTTATTTTTGAAATGTAATATGTTACAATTGCCCCCTGTCTCCACTACACTTAAACCTGCAGACATGATATTCTTACTCCAGGGCTAAACACACAGTATCTCAAAACAATTTTCTAAAGGGTTGTCCTCGACTAAAGAAATTCTTATTTGTATAAGTCTCGTCTGACATTTGTCAACTAATTGATTTGCTGACAGATCTACTTTCCTCAAAGAATAATGCTAAAGCAACACTTTAAATCTTGTGTTGACCAGAGATATGCTCTTACTTTTCTTTGTAATAGAAAACATTCAGCAATAAAATACAATTTAAAATATTAAAGCCGCACAAATATTTTATATTACACTTAAAACACATATAAATGGTGCTCTTGAAATCAATTAACCCATCCTTTAACAGAATTGGGGAAGGTGACATTGGACTGGATCGTTGCATTGGCTCGTTTCCTGTTGAAATTGTACCAACATTTTGTTCAGTGGTGCCCTGCAGCAATCTGTGATCAGGGAATCAGACGTGAACAGAGCCTCAGTTGAACCAGCCAGGCTTTAATGGAAACCAGCCCAGGGCCGGCAGTAAATCATCTGTGAAGTGGAATTACTGGAGTGACTTCTTGGAAAGGATGGTTGTTGTTGTTTTTTTCAGGTAACAGCCGTCAGTCCTGATCAGATGGTTTGGCATTTGATTTAGTACAGGGTACAAGACCCTTAGAAAGGGTTAGACTCTGCCCATAAATCGGACCTATTCTATGTCAGAAAATTACTGTATCTCCATTGTGCTGTAACTTTTAAGAAAAAGAGGTCAATTTATAATTCTTTATCAACGTTTTTTTCCTGTTACTTTCAACCATCTCAAAAACATGTCTTATATTTTATGGCTAGTTTCCATATTGTGTGTGTGGTTTACAAGTCTTTCAGGAACAGGTAGATAGGTCAGGGAATGATGTTGTCGTGAATTGTCCTACGAATAGTTTAACCCTGCTATTTACCAGAAGCTGTTTCTTGACACATCACATGCTCCTGGGATTTTTAGAAAATCAATAGCTTGAAACTGCAACCAAGACCTTTTCTGTTGGAGTAGCCTGACCAGAAACAAAGAAGTAAGTCAAGGCATTGGAGTATATCGGGCAACGGGCTGCTGAACTGACCTCTCCGAAGAGTTTATTGAGGAAGGCAACGTAGGCAGCAGCCACCGCTGAGCTCTTGCTGAGGTTTCTTTTACTGTTCCGACGTCCCTCCTCTTCCTCTGAGCTTTTCCCTTGGGTAGAGGGGGACTTTGACTTTGTGCTGTGAAATGAGAAAGGTTTATATGCCTGCCAAATTTTAAAAGATATCGTCATCCGAGCCAGGTCTATAAATTATTCTCCTAACTTACTTTAATAAATAAGTGCCTTTTGAGTAATTAATCCCTATTTCCCCCCTTATAAAAACTGCGTAACCCCGTAACAATTGAAAAACGTCTGTAGCCCAACCCCCTGACATTAGTTACCTCAGTCACTCAAATGGAAAGGAAATGTTTCTTAGGTAGTCAAGTTTGAAATTCGGAAGCTTGTCATGCAGCAGACGTACCAATCGATGACCCAAATTGGGTGCAGACAACTACACAGCCCACTCCCCTTGTGCTAATCAATGTTGATTACAAACAGACAATGATAATAACCAGAATTTCTTGGAGAGGCTGAGCTGAAGAGCCTTGCGTTTGAATCTCTCAGAAGTGGGCGGTCTGCCAGCGGCTGCCCCCCTCCCCCCTCGAGAGGACGTGCTAGGTGAAAGAGAAGGAAGCCATAATCAATTCAAAGAGCAATAAATGTCTCAGAATTCATATGGATACTTATTATAATAATTCACATAACCAGCCATACAGATCAATATTAAACTTGATGGCTTATTTTAAGCATGGGCCCTCCTGTTGAGGAAGTCGAGATGGATTTTTGGAAGTTTCACATTCTGTTTTACAGGGGAAACTTTGGAAAATTAAAAACAACTTTCGAAGAAGGTTAGACCATCTCACATAGTCGTGCTTGCTCCTATATAATGCTCACTAATTACTATATGAGATAATAATAATAATAATGAAGGGGGTAGGTCTCTTGTTTGTGTTGGAGAGACATTGGGATTTGGAATGATGGATAAATTGATGAATATTACCAAGTACAGGATTAAATCTCACAACCTCACTTCCTTACTTGGCTTTTCATTAGATTTGTAATTAGAATGCTAATTTAATTTAATTTGTATTCATTTCCAATTCATTCCTCCCACACACTTATATTACTGACCTGGCAGCAGGGGATGGTATACTGTCTGGTCCTGCATTAGCACTTTTCCCAGACATCCTAGATGTTAGAAAAGATACATTTAGAAAGCAGTTTCAGTTTATACATTATTAAAACCTCATTAATATATTCAGTTGTTATACAGTAGCGTCAGCAAACATTGTGCTATTTAATCATCTATCAGACACAATAATTAGCACTTACATGCAGTTGTTGTAATCGCAAACCGATTAATTTAAGTCGGTTTAAGTCACATTTTGTTTCCGCCAGGTTCTGGCTCCTGCTTTTTTCATTCACAAAATCCTCAACAAAGCTCCCCAGCAAGTCTGTGTATCTGCCATTCGAAGCTGAGTGGATTGTTTACACGGACTTTATCAGAGCTTTTTGCTAAGAACAGCTAAACCTGCGGGGGTAGAAAACGAGGTTGATGGGATTGAGCCATAATAGCTGTTGTTTTTTTGGGCTGTAAAACAATTAACTTAAAGTACCAGTGTTTAAGATTGAGTGACATCTGACAACAAACACATTGAATACCCCTACTCTCAGCTTTTCCTTTTAGAGGGTCACGAGAACTGTTGAAGTACTTGAGAGTTATTGTTTAACGTTTCTTATGGAATATCAAATTATCAAATTTGTATGACCATGGAATTTCAATGGTTGCATAATTCGTTGCTTACTGAATCTTGGACCAATGTATATTTCTCATTATTTGTTGGAATTACACAAAATCCGGGGTCTTGGGTTCTGTTAACTATGACTACTATGTCCTGAGGGAGAGGGAGGAGGAACGGCTTCAATCCAATCAAGAGAAAGTTTATTGATTATTATGAGGACACACTGTGCCAAGCAATACAAATAAAAATAAAATACACAAAGGGTAAAAGGAGCGTAGGCATCTTAAAATGATAGATCAAAGGTGTGGAGAGGAGGAATGGTGTGTTTGGAAAGGTGGGAGTGTGAGTTGGAGGAAGATGTAGCAGAAAGAATAAGAATGAATGACTATCCATTGTGCAGAGGAAGAGGAGGAAAGACGTATGGCTGTCTGTTTGATAGGCAGATTAATGTTCTGTCATGGACCTCTGCGGCTATGGCTATCAACTCCATGATGATAAACGGCCGTACTCAGCACTGATGCGCAATAAACATAACACCTCACCCCACCATCTCGCATGCCGTGAAGAAGGAGACAAGACAGATACCAAGATTTGCTCCAGCAGTCGCTACTTAGGGCCTTGTAAACCGCGAGGGCCCTAATGAGAAGAGACACAAAGACCAGCCAGTCCTCTAAATTAGGCCCGACAGTTAAATGTTCCTCCGCCAAACGAAACGCATTCCCATCTCCCACTGGGCCGAACACAACGTGCCATGACTGAGTAGTGATTGCCTGTCTGTCGTACTTTCACACAATCAGTCTGCATGTGATACATGCTGATTGCAACACGCTTGGATCATGTTAAGCTATACGGGTGGAGCAGGGAGGAATTGTCATGTCAGACATGATTACAATCGTGGAATTCTTTGAAAGTGGACATTATTTATAGCATGTTCGGTACCATACATATACTTTTTGCCCATAGAGTAGCATTGGTTTATTTCTATAAATGCACATAGACCAGATATTAAATTCAGCTTTGCATTAAACGTCTTAATGTTTACGTATGCACACACAAACCCTCTCACAAATGCACACACATCTGTCCCTTCCGCTCCCGCAAACACTGATACATGTGGGTATAGCGAGATATCTGGACTTTCTAAAGCGGTAGTCTGTTTGCCTGAAGAATTGCTTTCATCTTCAGTGAGCACAACTCCCATCAGGGTAAACAAACACACGCACAGACTGTACCCGTGCACGTTTCACTACACAAGCCATTGCGCATCACTGTGTGTCTGCAGCTTTCCTCCCTAAGTGGCCAATTGCTGTCAATCACTGGGCCGACACAAGCAATTTTAGATCCTGATCACGCTAATTGAAGTAATGAAATGGAGGGCCAGGTGGACCGGGCTAAAACAAACAAAACAACTACCACAGATGATGATGAAGAGCGGGCTGCACTCGGTCGCCGTTGAATGGGCCTGGCTGGAGCATTAGGGGTTAAATACTAAATGGATCTTCTAAATATATTTCACAAGGGCCACTAGAGTGAAGGGCGGTGAGATGCATTGTATGGCCCACATACAATACGCACAGAGACACAACAGACAGAAATAGAAAGCACTCCGAGATATCTCCACCAAGGACCCACAATTTCTATTTATTTATTTATCCTTATTTATTCTAAGAGAAAACAATGTTCTGCATCTAGTAGTGACATAAAACACACACAGCGATTGACGTGATACTTGTCAAGAGATGAGAAACATAGGTAGTTTTCGACCTACAACGGCTGTTGTTTTTTCACGTGGTTACTATCAAAGACTACAGTACAACTTTTTTTAAACATATACAGAGTATACTTGTTCCTTGGCACATGATCTAAATTCCTGCCACATTGTTTTTCAGATACCTTTCCAAAGGCGAACAGGTGGGCAAATTGGCACAAAATGAACCTCCATGTTTGACATTAAAAAAACACGACAAAGTCCCAGGTAGAGAAGCATCGGCAGCTCTAGTCAGATTGGTTGTGAGGCTTCACCCTTCTTTAAACATTGTTAATCTATTTTTTTTTGTTGTTTTGTATTATTTGTATATTGGCATGCTGTCTAGTCAGAAGACAATCAATCCCAGTCGGCCAAAGAGCAGCACGTCTCTGATCCATAAACAACCGATAGTAATGCAATTGAGTCTGACACACCATCTTATCTTTATCTATCTGTACACCTCTCATCCCCTCCACTTCCTCCGTCTCACACAGCCTCCCCCCCCCCCCCCCCCCCCCCCAGCACAGATTTCATGTCACGGCTCTGAAATGAGATATTTTCACATTCACGGACATCTTTTCCTGTCTCTTATTTTTCAGCAATCTCCTTATTACATCTTATTACTGCTTGGTATCATTCTAATCTAATTACAACCTCTTCTTTCTTGTTTTTGTGGAGGCCAGCCTGATAATCACACAGTGGAGCTGGTTTAAAGATGTCTGTTGATTTGATTGCATTGTAACAAGCAACATGGGCACAAATATTGAACCAAAACAAATGCAAACAGTGGGCTTGCCATCTGTCGGCTTGTACAGCTAAATCTATTCGAGATCCAGAAAATCAAATATTAAAAAGCAGAGAACAGACGTCTGTCAGTCTAATTGGAGCGTTATTGGCTTTCTTGAGATGCCTCTGTACAAGGCTTGCTCAGTTCAAACAAACCATAGTTCCAGATGTGTTGAATTATTAAACATTTCAGTGTTCAACAAGCTGATACTTAAGATGTTATCATTAGTACATCAAAATACACCTTTTGATAAAAGCTTACCTTCCGTTGTCCTTGTTTGTCTGGGTTGAGTGATGTGGATGTATCTGTTGCAGGAAGCCTTACCTAACCTGAGGATTATATAATGAAAGGTGATTATCCAGCTAAATATGCTGGATTAGAGATGTAACTGGCTGCCTCTGTCTTCAAGAACAAAAGGGCAATGCTATTGGCTTACTGCAGATATAATGAGGAGGAAGACTACATGAATGTAGATTAATTTAAATTCAATCTATTTTTTGTTTAAATTACGTTAAATTTAAGATGCAAAATCGTTGAACCGTTTATGACCTGGGAGTCTATCATTATAGCATATTGTTTGGCAGACACTATCAGACATGTGTACATTTATTACAAATAACTAAGAATCCAGCCTTGAAACTAAGTTTACTCATCATTCACTGGTTGCAAACAGGACAGAAACAAGGGCAGCCAGGCAGAAATTCCCTCATAAATAAAGTCAGTAAGACATATTGAACAATGCGTCACTGAATGTAATGGTGTAAAACCGCAACACATCGACAAATGTCATTCAGAGCATGGTAAAAAAGTGTTAAAAATGACACATTTGTTACACAGAAAATGTGCACATGATATGCAGTAATGTTGAAGCTATTAAATCATGGCATCTGTGGATGGTCATTGGATATGAAGGAAGTGTTGGAGAAAGCATATGGTGAATATAAACTGCATATATGACAATACGAGGTGGAAAAAATAAGTAATCCACCAGAGAGAAAGTATGATGGTTTAATAACGGTGCAAGAGGTTAATTAACTAACACATGAAGAAAAATGTAGATGTCAATTTGAGCCTGAAGTGCCGAGTCAACTTAATGAAGCATCAGATGTTTAATGTCACCAGTATAATGACAGTGGATTCACTTTTTTAGGCTTATATACTGTGAGTGTGTGTGTGTGAGTAACAATAAGTTCGTCTTTGTATCTTCCATCGCAGAGCGTTTTAAAACTGGCAGAGCTCACAGATCGACTTCTGTTGTTAGGTAAGTCAGGAAAAGGATGAAGAGGGATGTCATGTCCCTGGGGCCATTTCCTATTGAACGCCAGACTCTTCATTGATGTCTCGAACATGCTCGGTGTTGTTGCTAAACAGACACCTTGGATTTAACCTGTGAACAAGGTCAGAATTGTCTGGATATCAGTGTTTCGTTCAATATAACATTACATTACATTACATTACATTACATTGCATTTAGCTGACGCTTTTATCCAAAGCGACTTACAATAAGTACATTCGACCAGGAAGACACAACCTTGAAGAAAACAGAATCATATAAGTACATCAGGTTTCATAGAGCCAAACATTTCAAGTGCTACTCAACTGGCTTTAGGTAAGCCAGTCCTTTATTAGTATAAAAGTGCTTCGTTAATAATATAAGCAACAAAAGGGGATCTCTTCAGTCCCTCTGACCATCAAAGAGGTGCAACTGTCCATACAAAAGCGGTTGTTCCTCTCTTTGGCATTTTGCTTTGCTCTGCAGTGGTCATTCAATTAACTTTGTCTCACTTCACTGAACAAACCTGCGGCATGACCTATAACTCTTGTAAATGTCACATCTTGTCATAAATGTTTAAAAAAATCAAAGTCGCTAAACCTTCTCTGCCTTGTCATTTAAGTGAGAAAAATGTTATG